TTCCTGTACTAGTAGGATTTGTGTTGCACAGCAGAGCTCTGTGTTGTAACATAAATAACCCATATTTGAGCCCATATATGCAAAGTCATTGTGAGTTTTAAGAGTGGAAAATGGTGTCTAAAGAAATTTCTCTTACTCAGAACAGCACGCCCCCATGTTAGCAGAGCTGTGCCATTTTAAGCGATGTCAGTCTGGGTTTCAGGAATGCATTTGTCTTAGTGAAGTGATCCAAATGCTTTTTTTGCCTGGGCCAGTGTTTTAAAAGTTACCCTGAAGTTTTGAATAATAGTACAGTAACATCGTTTTTCCAGCATGAATGGAGGGAGAAAATAGCTCCCCAAATAAAAGATAAAATTTCAGGAGTGCTGGAGTAAGCGGGAGTGTTTTTGCGCTGCAGGGCAAATGTGCCATCCTCCCCTTCTGACCATGTCAGTGCATGGGGAAATCAGCCAGACCCATTTTCCTCATCTTACCCTATGAATTTCCATGTCATCTCCTTTGGTCTTTGAACTGCTGGGCACAGGTAACTAAATTAGTACCATCTCAGAGACGGGGCTGTTTATATCCTCTCCTCACTCTTAACATGCCTGTGCAGTCTGAGCCACTGATTGACCCCTATTGATCTGATTTGACTACACTCCTGTGGAGTAGACAAACAGTGCAAGAGAATCCAGGGACTCTAATTCACAGTACCTTATTTAGGTTCCTAGGTAATAATTCTTATTTGCATTAATCACTTGCATTAATCACGCAGAACCTGAGGCTGCCTCTTGCCTTCTCTGCATTCTTGTTCCTGACAATGGTACAAAAAGGTATCTGCTCTGAAGAAAGAGTGTTTTAAGTATATTGACACTTGATGCTTAATAATTGCAAAACTTAACTGTTAGAAAAAAGACATTTTTTCAAATCAATGACTCACGCATTACTGTAAAATATATCGATTAAAAACAAAGCATAATGTTAGTCATTTAGTCAGTAGAGTGATGCAATACTGAAATAAATTCATCCCTTGACTTTTGCATTAACCTTTTATTGACTGCTTGCATACTCATAATTAACACACACTTTAGCTAGCTTGGTTAATTTTAGCATCGTGATCAGTGTCCTCTAATGTAGATGACACCCTGATCATCAAAAATCAGTGCAGCCCAGGGATCCATGACCAGGCAAGTGTCTGTCTCAGTGGATGCACACCTGCCCAGGGAGATACCAGCCACCTTCCAGGGAAAGCATCATCTGCTGGTATGCAAATAGTCAAACAGTCATACAAATGTTTGTCATCACTTAGTTGAACATTGGTAAATATTAATGAGCAAAGTCCATTTGTCAAAAACAGACAAAAAGATTATGAAAAATCTGAGAACTTTAGAGGGTAGAAGTAGTGAGAACATACTCTTCAACAGTAACTAATAATGGGCTTTTTAAATTGAAACTGTCACAAGTCTTGATTGTTTTAGTAAGAAAGTAGGGACCATGGAGTTTTGTGCATTCTATAAACAAAGAATTCTTTCTATAATATGTTATTGAATACTTAATGTCAAGGTGTTGCAGCTAAATTGCTCTGAAATACATCATGGCAGTTTTCCTGCTCTCCTGCTGCAGTTAAAGTATTGAAGGAATCTATTCTGTATTTCAGAGTTTGTATGATTTCTACTCTTTACACAGTTTTTACGTATAATAGGCACAGGTTAGTTCTATTTTCCTTTGGAGTTTTGACTTTAGTAACTCAAATAACAATTTTAATTGATATGGAATATTTTCATTAGCTTACAATATTGTAAATCTTCATAGTTTCCCACTACCACCACAACTCAATGTTTGCAGCCTTTTTTTGTTTATTTTTATTTATCAGGAGTTATTGTTGCTAACTCACTTTAGCTGTCAGACACAAAGAATTTTAAATAATTCTGTGCAATCATTTAGATGCATTTGATTGTTCTGCTTCAGTTTAAAATGTTGCTCTGCTTTTGGCAAGATCTTCAGCTGTCTTCCACTGCTACAAATTACAGACATTGTAGGAACAATTTCTGCTGTAGAATTTATTTTTTTTAATCAGAAATATACTCATCTAGAAAGGTCTGGTTTTTGCACCCTAATTCTGAGTGAGAAAGCACATTTTTGACCATGTTCCAGATTGTGGGAGCTGTTCAGGTGGATTGCTTATTGAACTGCCAGGTGCAGCAGTGACTGCCTAGAACCAGCCCCATAGCTTTGAATATGAAAAAACTTAAGCTGCCTTTGATGTCAGCAGATCCAGCACAGGGGTTGTAATTTTGGTCAAAATAGATGATTGACAAATTATAAGATTGTATATTTCCCTGCTGTTCTTGCTAGTATGGAACAAGGCTGTAGAAATCCAACAGAAGGACAAAAGCACCATGGGATCACTGAACTTGAGAGTGCTGTGGCACTGCTTTCCCTTTTTGTATTTTTAGAGCACATTGATGCATTTCTGTCATCAGACTGGCACAGCAAGTCTGAGGACCTGACCCTCTTCCGTTCCTCTAATCCCTCCCATGGAATATGCTATGGCTAAAACTTCCCTAATTACATGATTGGCTGTGGGGAGACCTCTCAGCAATGGCTCTGCTGGTAACAAATACAGAAAAGGGAAAGTAGCAAGCAGGTGCTCTTGGGCTGTCCAGACACAGCATCACTGTGACTGCCACCACATTTACAGCAAGACAAACACCCACATGTGAGGGAAGAGCTGGTCAATCTGTTTGTGTGAGAGAGCAAGGGGGGAAAAAAAAGACATGAAAGGTAAAGAGAGGACTCTGAAATGCTGAGGAAGCTAAAGGTTGATATATTTGTCGGGGCACAGCATCAGTGTGACTGCCACCACATTTACAGCAAGACAAACACCCACATGTGAGGGAAAAACTGGTCAATCTGTTTGTGTGAGAGAGCAAGGAAAAAAATAAGACATGAAAGGTAAAGAGAGGAGTCTGAAATGCTGAGGAAGCTGAAGGTTGATATATCTTTTCTTTCAGTGAAAACTGTTGTTAATAGATGTGGCAGAGAGAAAATGTTTATTATTATTAGCTGAGTTTTGCAGATCACATAACATGCCTACAGTATTTACTGGTTGAGCTTTGTGATTTGTCATCTGCAATAATCACTACATGGTTAATTTATCCACTTTTAGACGGAAATGCTTAAACTGGAATGTCTTATACTACCCACCAAACTGAGTGTATTATTTTGTGCCAAGACAGAAAATAAAGCAAGCTTTTAAAAGCCTTATAGAGTTATGCTGTAATTAGTTTCAGCTTCCCCTGCATATTAATTTTCTCCTGTTCCTTTATATAATTTGGAAAATGTCTTCAGAACATGATGGTACAATCAGTTAAGTACCTCTCAGAACTCACACACTAAACTGCATTTGCTATAACTATTATAAAGCAGCCAGCAAAACAAATCCTCTGTTATTCTGTACAGTGCAGCTTATCAATGCAAACAGTTTAATATTTATGCTAAGAGGATTGTCACAAGTAGCTTCTGTTCCTTTAATTCTTGTTTTAAATAAATAATGAGAACATTTAAACACATTACTCTTCCCAGGGCCCTGAGGTCGGCTAATCTTATTATTTATGAAGTGATGTGCTACATAATAGTACTTAGTGCATGTTAACAGATGCTATTATCAGGGGCTGATGTGGAGAGCTGAAGATATATTGGAATGCTATGTGTTAATACTGTCCTTGTAGTGTAATGTACGATGGATTGAGTGCCCAGGATGCTGGTGCAGCAATTAACCACCCACCAACATGGGTGTAAAGCTGAAGTATGTTCTCTCTTGGGGATTATGCTGCTATTAATAATTCCCAGGAGAAGAAGACATCTTTCATTTGGCAACAGTCCCTTCCAGAAGGTCAATGGTGTCCACAAGGAAGTTGAGTGTGTCAGTATTCTTAGAGTTCATTCTACTGAGGTGAAAGACACATATGTGTTTAAAACAACTTTAAAGTTCTTAGAAAAATTATGTGCTTTATGGAAGACAAGTTTTAAAAAATGTCATACAAGAGATAAAAGTGCATTTCTGCAATTTGGTTGTTGTCTCTTTAAAGAGCTATATAGACCTGCAGTATGTACCAAAATTAAGGTAATTCTCATCATTTTTCTGTTTTGCCCCATTGCAAATATTAACTAATTAATCCACAGTGTGCAAATTGTTTGAGGGGAAGGCAAAAGAGAGGGGGAGAAATCCTCCTTGAACTGTGACAATGTTTTTGATGTGGCATGTATTAGTCTAATCTTTAGAGATGTGATGGTTGCCACTTATAAAAACTTTCCTCTGCAGGCTGCAGTTCAGTTGAATATTATAATTAGACTTCACTAGTATTGATGAATAATCCATTTAATAAAAAACATTGTAATTTAAACATTTTCTCTGGGGACTAACATACACTAGCCTCTTAATTTAATTTTATTGAAGTTTTGCCCACCCATTCATCATTGGAAGTTGTTATTAACCTCCATTTCCATTTTTCTTTATAGAATTTTCTCTTTTTATATTGCCTTTTTCAGTGCTAAGCAGGTTGATACACTTGTAAATCTCCAGAATCTACAAAGCTAGTCTGGCTTCTTTAATGTTGTTTAATCTATCCCCCCTGACCTTAATGCAGTAAATTCAGTTTAATCTTTCTCAATAATCTAGTAATACATTGGAAACCAGCAAACATTTAAATCTGATAATGATTTAATCACATACTTTAAATAACAGCTGAGATAATGAAAATATAATTCACCATATAAAGGAACACTAACTGAGTTTTCTCTGTGATTGGCTTTTTGAGAAATCCCTACAGAAAATACAAAGCCTACAACAGAAATCAACTTCACTAGAAATGTGCAATCCATTTGGTGTCAGAAGATGTCGTATTTCTTTTTTTTATCATCTTTCTCTTTAAATTAATGCTCAAATGAATCCTTGCTGAGTATTCAGTTTCTTGATACAGTTTTACTTAAGTGGTTTATCTGCTTACCTTTCTTTTCAGGTGCCAGTCAGACGCAGCAGAGAGCTTGCCAGAAGACCAGAAACCAGAATGCCATCCCTTCTGGACAGATGATGATGAATGTAATATGCCTCTGCCATATGATCTAGAAGAAGTAATTGCTTATCTACAAAATCTTGTTCAATGGATAGAATAACAAGTTACCTTCCAGTCTAGAATTATTGGTGCTGGTCATCTGGGGAGAAGCTTTGTCGTTATCATAAATCTTTTAAGCTTTATGATTTCTTGATTGTATGTTATGTGTAAATGCAGATTTTACCAGTCTTTACACAGTAGCTTAGTCACTGTCTCACAATAAAGAGTACCAGCCCCCAAATTTAGAGAAGAGTGTGTTTTTTAACACCCGAAGTCCAGAACACCAGCCTTAGTTCCCTCCTCCTCCGCTCTAATTCCCATTGACCCTACAGCCCAGGGATATCTGTGTTTCAAAGAATCACAGGTTGGGGCAGGTTGGAAGGACCACAGTGGAATCACCTTGTCCAACCTCCCTGCTCAAGCAGAATTGCCCAGGGCACAGGGCTGTGTCCAGACAGTTCTGGAGTGTCCCCAGTGAGGAGACTCCGCAGGCTCTGGCCGGGCTGTTCCGTGCTCGGGCCCTGCACAGCCAAGAACTCCTTGCTCGTGTCCAGGTGCAGCTTCCTGGGCATCATTCCTGCCCCTTCCTCCTGTCCCATTGCTGCAAACAAGGGGCAGAGCCTGTTCCATCCTCTGACACCTCCTGCAGATACTGAGACATGAGTAATGTCCCCTCTCAGCCATCTCTTCTTGAGGCTGAGCAGTCCCAACTCTGCAGTGTTTTGACACATTCCCTTGGTATCCAAATTTCAGTTTCCATGAGTGCCTAGAGCTGTCTCTGGTCTGGCAGGTTTGAGCAGCCCAAGGTGTAGCTCACACCTGTGCCAAAGCAGACTGCATGATCTGGGCATCCTAATGAGAGGCCAGCTTGGGGTGAGCCTGCTGGAGATCTTCAGAACAGAGCTGTGGATTCTCAATCCAGTAACACAAAGGGGCAGGAGATGCTGGAGCTACTCCTTTGTGCAGTGGCTCCTTCTCAGAGCTTTTTTTCAGGTGAGGAATTCTGTAGGAGCATTCTAACACAGATCCCAATACTTTCTTACTGTTTTGCCTCATGGCAACAGAGTACTACTAAGAGAGATTTCTGATGTGAATCTCTACTTCCTGGGCTCCCTGGAATTCAGAATTCAGTTCCTAATCATTGCTTTGTTTCTGCATGTTATGAATCCTATTTTGAGGTCAGGTTTCCCAGTGCATTGCCTAAAGAGGTGAGGGACCTAAGTAGGACCTTCCATTTGAGTTGTTTGGTCCCCTGAGAAACTAGATTTAGATTGCGTGATATTGGGTATTTCAGCATCAAGTGAGATCTATGAGCATAAACCCAAAAACTATGAGAAATTAAGCGGTTTGTGATGTTTTGTAGTAACTTGCTGTAAAAAGAACAATTATGTGTAGGATGATACAGGGTGCTCCTGAATGAGATAGAGTATTTTGTTTTGGTAAATTGCTATTTTATCTGAATTGGTTGGACTGGCGTCCAACTTTGTCACAAAAAGCAGAAAATCATTATGGTGAAAAAACACTCAGGCTGTATTACCAAAGAAGCCAGTAAGGTTCAGAATTTGACATTGCCACCAAGAAATGAATATGCCTCCTGTGTTAATGTGGTGTTTAAAGTCTCTGCTGAGGCTGAGCTCACCCAGAACACACCAGCTTCTGTACTGGCAAAGAGCTGTGTGTGTGGATGAGGCTTCTACTTCTGAAAATTGTGCTTTTGACAGTATAACATATGCCAGACCTCCCTGGAGCTAAGGAAGCTGTGCCAGTAAAAATTCAGTTTTAGTGGTATAAGGCTGTGTCCACACCTACCAGCTTTTGCCAGGACAATTATATCAAGTAGAGGTTGTACCTCATAAGACTTTAGGTCAAGCTGTGCCAGCAAAAGTATAAATACCTGAATCAAGTGTTTCCATCGTAGTCCTGGGCTTCTGTGAAAACTTTTAGTTATCCTGTGGAATGTAAAGAGTCTCTGAAGAATAAGTTATTACTTAAACCAGCATTGATAATATTACCATGATCCACACATCTCTCTGTTGTCTCTTGTGCCATAGATTTCATAACATTTGGAAATACTGCTATGGGCATAGCTTTCTCTTCCCTGCACTAGTTCAAGCTGGCTTTACCAGTGGCATATTTGGATTAGTGCCACACTAAACACTGTTTACTTTGGAGATCGCTTAGAGAAAAGCTAGCTGAAGATGTGGGAATTCTGCTTTTGAAAAGGCAGTTCTCAGAAACAGATATTGCTTTGGAAATGAGCAGTATGAATTCAGACAAGCTAGTGATGTAACAGTGTTAACACAGTGTTTAGGGGGACTGTTTGTTTATGCTGTTATGTTATGATTACTTTGTGTATAATTAAGCACTGCTAAAATCCATGGGGATCACAGTATTGAAAGGAATCTGACCACCACAAAGGGTGGAGGAGGCACATCAATGGTGTACTTTGTAGCTGAAGTGGAGGCAAAGCTATTAAAAAATGATTGGCAAATAATTATTTCCAGCAGCAGTAAAAATAAAACCAAACCGAAACAATCCCAAACCTATTAGGAGACTGCTGGCAGTAATAACAGAATTTTTAGAATACATGTTCCCACGTCTTGCCTATGTTGGAAGATTTAAGGTAGTGAATTAGCTGAACTAGCACTAGTCTCAGTGCAGTCAGATAGCACTTATCCAAGCCATGGTTAGCAATGATATGGACAAATGAACACCCTTGGAATAAGACTGCCAAAATACCAATAATCAAGTGGTTTAGGGCTCTCTCTTGCATTCCAGTCTTGCATCATCTAAATCAGTATAACCTGATTGTGCTCAGTTGAAATGCAGAAGTATGAGAAGATTTCATATCTCCAAAGCCCACAGGAGTTGATAGCAATAACATGAGTAAGATGGTGGAACTATTTGAAGCACACAGTAATGCCAAAGGGTACCCCAACAGGAGAACACAGTTAAAGGTAAATATATATAAAAAAACCTGAGAGATCAAGTATAAATTATTGCTGTGCTTAGATTATGTGTTAGAAGCTGACAATCTAGTTTGAAGATTTCTATTTTTTATTCAAGTAGTTACAATTTAGCTTGTTTCAATGATTCTTTAGCTATCCATTTATATTCCAGCATTAGATAACCCATTTCCTTTTTGAAAGAGCTGGAAGACACAGCCTCTAATTAATGTTCTGTGTATGGCAATTGTTTGCTAAGCCTGGATGCTTTAGAAGCATGAGGACCAAGGTCAGGTTTTTTCAAGGAAGAGGTGAGAGCATAAATTAACTTCTGACATTAAATTCAGTGGTTCTTTTAAAATGGTGAAGTTCACGATTTTGCTTACATTTACTTTTCATCAGCCAGGACTGAATTGAGGTAAAATAGTTCACTTGCAAGTGTGTGTCAGGCTAAATGGATTGCAGAAGATACAGATCTGTTTGCCTGTCTGCACTTGCCTTTAGACAATATTCATCAATTTTACAAAAGCTACTGACTAAACATGGAACCAGTACAAATGAAATGCTCAAGGCAAGGGCTTTCTTTTATAAATCTGATACAGAGTTGGTTTTACACTGATAGAGAGAAAATGTTGGCAGAAAATGAAAAACTTCTATTGTTTCTGTAATTTGGGGGATGAAAGATACAGACTGTTTTTAAGTATTTGATAGAAAACTGCTGTGTTATGCAATGTAATTAGAGATGTTTTTATAATACTTTGTTCATATCTGTGTATATAAAAAAATTTTATCCCATAGGTCCTTTCTTCTGTTGAAAAGGTTATGTAAATAAATAAAATTAATCTTAATACAGTGGATTTTAAAGGCATAATACTTATGTTCTAAGCTTTACAGCAGGTTCTGATTATTTAAAGGGTAAATAAGAATGCCGTGAGTAATCACTGACTGAAAACTGTGCAGGATGGGTAATATGCCCCATAATAAATATCCAAATCTGTTGTCTTATTATCATCTGAATATGGTTTTAGATTCATGGTAGTGGTACAAGGAGCAATATAAAATCATGCTGGACTAATTAATACAGTGGGGCAGATTCAGGGATTCCATTCATGTCACAGCACAGAAATCAAAATATTATTAAACTCCATCATGAAAGGTGACTAAAATATTGTAGTGTGTTAAGAGTTGGCATTGCTCCTTTCTCAGTTACACCTGTGCTGTTCCATTCGTTCTGTGCAGTGCAGTGGAGTTTGGGCTGTTGGATATTAAACCAGGCTTAGGCTTGTGTCTAAGCTGGGCTGAGAGCAGGGTGAGAGAGGCAAGGTGGGATGCACAGGAGACCCAAGGGATGTGATTTTTCAAGGCCACAACTTCATTAACTGGACTCATATGGGAGTCATTGAGCTCAAACTTGTACAGTGCAGGTCAGGATCTCTCTCTTAATTGTTACCACCTGGTGCAAAGTTAATGTTGGCTCCCTAAACCCCTTCCTGCCCCTGACAGCCAGTCCTCAGCTTTCTGCTGGGAGCTGACCACTCTCAGCTCACACCAAGATTACGGATTTGGGAAGAGTGGTTATTCCACTGTAGCAACAGGGGTGAGAAAATCTCATCCCCAGCTTCAGCCACCCTCTGTCCTGCTACAGCTCCACAGATGGAGTACCTCCAAACATTCTGCTTCTCATTTGAGATTCAAGTTGCTACAGCTCATCTTCTGTCCTGTCCCACCGGGACAGTGATCTGACACAGGGAAGGGCCAGACAAGAAAAATTCTGTTTGCATGAGTCTCCTCATCAAAAACCCATTGGACTCTCCGTAAGAGTGAAAAGTTCAGGACTACAATAATCTGCCTTTAGAGCGTGGGAGCTGCTAGGGAGTGAGGAAGGACTCTGGCCAAACCACCAGCATTCATTGTTCTGTAGGACTCACATCCTGCCCTGTTCTGGCTCACCCCACCTGTACAGGCAGAGGCAATCCTGAACAGAACCACTGCAGAGGCAATCCTGAACAGAACCCGTTGTAGAGGCAATCCTGAACAGAACCACTGCTCTCTGTCCTGTCCAAACTGACTCTTCACCTTCAGTGTGGCTGGGCTTGAACTTTCATTTACATTCATCTGTCCTCTTCACCTTAGCCTGAGGGCATTAAATGAACAAGAGAAGATAATTTATACAATTACAAAAAGACTGTACATAGAAAGGCTACAGAACTGGCTGAATAACACATAAAATAAAAGCCAAGAAATAACCAATAAAATTAGCACACTAAAATGTTGATATTTAGGCACGGGCACTTCACATATTATAGGAACTCTTGTTTCTCTTCTTGTTGCTTAGGAGATAACATTCATAATCCAAAAGGATGTATTATGCTTTGGTTTACATCCTCTAAATCTCCACTGGTTTTACAGAGCTTGTCCATGATGAACAAGAATTTGGTCACAAAAGTTGTTCTCCTCCCCCTCCCTATCGTCAAATACTTGCTTTCATGCCAACACATCTTGGTCTGATTAGTCCCCTTGATTACAGGCTAAAGCAAAAAGTCAGGTGTATAAGATTCCCATTATCCTTTATTCCACTGCTTCTAAGAACAGGTCAGATAGAGTTATTTCAGTGAAAATGTGAACAATCAACTTCTGTTTACCATTAACCTTCAGTTTTCTTTTCTTAAAATCAAATCAGGGCTTGGTAGGCAGTTATTTTCATACATGTCCCTTGATCAGTGGAACAATCTGTCAAAAGCCATTAAAGCCTCTATTAGGTTGAATTGCATTCAAAGTTAAGCTCTCCGATCATTTGAAGGACTGTGATGATTGCTTTTAATATAGTATACATTGATTTCTCTCTTGGAATAGCAGCATAACTTTGAAACTAAGCAGGTATGACTTGAGCATTTTGCTCTCCAGTATGTTTTGAGAAGCTTTGTTTCTTGTGGAAGATTAGTGTCTACATTAAAAAAAGGAGAAAACAAATGCAGTGAAATCACCTCTTCATTGTCACGAGTTTTAGCTTTTCCTAGTTCATTGCAACCTTCAAGGTGTAACATATGAAATACGAAGAAATTTTCCAGGGCCCCTTTCCTCAACAGCTTCACTGATTTATCTAATTGTACTGTTATTGTAAAAGTGGCTCTTTATCTTAAAATATTGGGATACTTTACACAGAGAAACTGAGGCAGAGGTCAAAAGTGCAGCTGGGATCTGAGTGGCAGCACTGGCACGAGTGTTATGTAACCCTCTGTCGCTGGCATATCTCTATCACTTCCAGAAATCAGCTCAGTTTACAGAGTAAAGATGCTCTCATAGAATTTGTTGTCCTCCAAAGTTATATCTGAAAGTTGAGCTGGAATCTGTCCTACTCATGTCATATTTAGCACAATATTTAATTGCATAACATACAATAATATATCTCATATAATAAAGACCTTTCAGTCTTCCTAAAGTTTGATAAAGCTTTCCAGTGAATCTTTTAGTTACATTCCAAGTCCCTGAGCTCTCAATGGCAAAGACATATTGTATTGGAATTAAATGATTCCATGGAGAATATGCAGTGTATAATATGATACAATCTAATACTATCCCCACTCTTCTACATCTATTTTAAGTATTTCCACTGCATGCCTCACAAGGTGGTACAGCTGCTGTATTAGGAAACTCTTAAGAAAATACCCTGTTGGTATTTGTGCTGTTTTTACCAAGGTGAAGGTGAGCTGCTGAAGCAAACTGGAATGCTGGTTAAGCACCTGTTAGCACTTAAGGTACTTATTTGGTAGTCTGGTAGTACTTTACTGAGAGCACTGTGTTACTAGCTATTTTGATGAACATCCTAATAAATTATTATCCAACATCAAAGAATTCCACAATTCTTTTATTGCTGTTCTTTGTCTTCTATTGACTGATGCCCCTTCTTTCCCTTTTGTCCCAGTATTAACAGTAATGTTATTAACAAGTTTTGTTCTTTGTTAGGCTGATGTGACCTTTAAGTGAGAAAAGTTTAGAATTATGTATCAGATATTTCCTGAAGTACATTTCTTTTCAAACCAACTTACTAGGTTATTTTGACTACTTTTCCATTTGGTACTGCTACTTTTTATTAAGACCTGTTTATAGAACTCTGCAAGATATACAGTGATACATAAGTTTGTTATGTATTTACTAATTTACTGACATTTATCAAATAAACTGTTTAAAGAATCTGTTTGTCTGTCTTTTGCCTTTCAGAAGGTGTTCTTGTTTTCAATACCTCATAGTTGCAGTGCATGGAATTTCAGGTGCATAGGTGACAAAATTGCTCTCTGTAAGCTCTCTGTATGCCAAATAGTGAGAGATAAACCTCATCAAAGCAGCACACTCAAAGATGCTGAGTTTACTGTTCAGTGGCACACTGCTCACAACCTGGACTGTGTGTCAAGTCCAAGTGCATAGCTATCCTCATCTGCCTATGCTGGCAAGTTAATAATGGTAAATAGAATAAAATCGATGGTGGAGGATTTGGGGTTTTTTTCTTGAATTGATAGAATTAAATACTGGTTATATTGCAAATCTTCTAGTGAGGAAGGCAGAATAATTTCTGTGCCTTTGTTAAGACTCATATCATAAAAGAATCTGACTGACTTGTACTCCCTGTTATAGTGTTTCCTTCAGAAAAAAATATGGCTCTGCTAGGTTTAGAACACATTCTTCTGGCAGAGCAGACTTCCCATGTCTGACACAAACTGTTACATTATGTGAGTGGTAGGAACTCAGTGCCCACCACCATCAGCCTGTTTGAGTGTTTAAACTGTTCCATGTTTGGTGCAGTAGAACTTGCAGTTTAAAACATGTAGTCATTATAACAAGGCAATGTGGAAGAAATGTGTCTTGTACATAGACTGAGAGGTAGTGAGGTTTGGGATATCCATTGTTTCTAAAGAGTTTCTTTTCACAGGTTTATATTCACCCACCTCAGATTTTGTGGAGGGTTCTACTATGTAGAGGAACTGTTGTCATTAAGTGTCTCATTCCAGTGGAAAGCTGTGTCCATGCTATCCAGATTTGAGTGGGAGAGCAAAGCAAGGACTGATACTGCAGATTTCCTGTGATGCTCTGGCAGGAGCCATTGTAGAGATCAGCAGAGTGCTTTGATGTGCCCATGGCCACGAGGCTGAGGTGCACTGCAGTGTTCTGGAGTTCCTGGAGTTCCCTTAAGGCCAAAGGCTGTCTGTGCAAATTGTTCTGCATTAGTAGACTCCAGCCAAGTGGTGATGGAAATGTGGATAGCATTGGCCAGGATGGAATGGAGTCTCCAAGTAAAACAGTTGACAAAGAGTATTATTAACACACACTCAAGCTCAGAGTCAGCAAGGCATCCAAAAGATGAAACATTTGATTTCTTTGCCTAGAACATTTTTTCCTTGGCTTTAGAAAAAGTTTAATTGATTTAATTAAAAGCGGTGTGGAGACCCATTTTCAAAACTAATGTTAGTCTGAAACATTTCTTACAATCCATTGTGATATATCTTATACATGTCTAGAAAGACCAAGATGAGTGTCCCTGGGATCTCGAGTGCCTTGAGCTGTTCATTTTCCCCCCTTTTTTTATTCTCAGAGCATACTTTTCCTTAACTTTTCTTAAAAATGGGTAAAACACATGGCAGTAATGACCTTTCAAAAAGAAAAATAATCAGGGCCTTTGCTGGAGGGACACAAGAACAAGGAAACTGAAGAAAACATCTTCTATTGGGGTTAAGGTGCTCTCCCAGCATCTCCATTCAAAAGCAGCTGGTCTTAATTGAGGCAGAGACTAATCAGGATTTAGTGATTGTTAAATTTTTAATTTTACCCTAAATCCATTATTTCTATAGGAAATCTGTCATGAGAACCTAAATTGGCCTCTAACAACAAGAGGAAGTGAAATCCTACTTAGCAAATTCATAGCTTTTCAATGTATCTCGTGGCTTTATGGTATATCAAACTGTAGGAATGTAAAAGTGGTTTAAGGAGCTGTTGCTGGGTTCAACTAGCTGCAGAAACTTTTAATTTATTTTTGTTTCTCCTCTATTTCTTAACCTCTGGGGCCTAAGTCTGGGCTACTTGATAAAGCAGTCATTCAGGAACTAGAAGCTATGCAAGCTTTGATAGACTTAGAACAAGATCTTGTATTAAACATACATTTTAAAAATAAAATTTCAAATCTGGAAATTGATTCTGGCTTGACCTGTATATACTGAAGAGCTCACTGTTCCTTACTTGCTTTGCTTTACTGATATTATTAGATCTGTTGTTCTTTTACCAGAACTCCCAGCTGATAGAAGAAAAATCAATGAAGAGCAAAGCATATTGGACAACAGCACTTTCATTAGAGTCAGGGCAACAACTGACTAACTAAGACTAAGTTATGACATTTCCACTTTTAAAGGTTGCAAATGCTTGTATTATGCATTTTCTGGTATTTTCAGGGGGCCAGAGCCAAATATGCATTAAGCAAGCTTAGAATAGAGCAGTTTTTTAAAAAAAAAATCAACACACAGGGGGTTTTTTTGTACATGCCAATATGAGGATTATAAATTATAATGAATTTCTCTCCAATGCTTTTTAAAAAACATAGCATACATCCAAAGTTACACATCCCAGCATTTTATGTTTATCTGCCTACCCTTAAATTCCCTCATTTCAATGAACTGCTGGACATAGTGATCTCTTGGGTGGCTATTGCAGTGTGCATTCAGCCCTTGCCTGGTACAGAGTGGGATGCAAAGGGATCTCTGAGGATGCATCCCCTCCACACAGCTTTGCCTGAGCTAGCTCAGCTTGGATTGAGGATGCTCAGAGGTCTGCAGTTCAAGCACACGTCTGCCCAGCTAATGGGGTCAGAACATCTCCTTCCAATAATGGATTGGTTCTCTCTAGGGTAAAGTGCCTCTATGAGAAATTGAGAGGAGATCCATCCTTAAATAAGATTTGATGCAGCCCAGGAGAATGACAATTACATCTTTTGCTAACACTATTTCTAAGGCAAAGTCATGCCTTGTAGGAAACAGGATGATGGAGTACTTGGGGAGATTTTTGTAGTGCAGTGACTAGTAGATAGGTCCATGCTATAGAAAAGTTCTGTGAGAGAGAAAATGAAACTCATGTAAGTGGCTGTTCTGTTGCAGATAGTGAGAAGCATCCCTGTGTGGGTCACCCTAGTAAAGTCTGGGTTATTTTCTTCTTGGACTGAGTGCAGCTGGTGACAGCAGCAGATATTTTTACCCAACAGATGAAAAACACAAGAGCCACTCCTGGGGTTGAAGTCCAGGGACCCAGCTGAGATGTACATTAAAAGAGGCACTCAGAAGGGGCTGCCAAAATCAAGTTAGAGCTGCAATTAGAATTCATACCTGTATGGATGGTCCTTTGCTGTGTCCCATGGCACAGGTCTCAGCTGAGGGCTGGGGTAGGGCTGGGCAGGGGGGATTTCATTTGAGACATTGAGCTGTGTCTACACCTGAACTTTCTCCCTCTCATACTCACAAATATTATTTCCCCGCACTGTGCAGGACTGTGCACAGTCTAGCAGCAAACCTGCCCCAGAGTCACCAGCACAGGGAGGACACCATGGCTGGGCAGTAATCCCGTGGCAGGGAAGGGAGATCCCAGCAGCTAGAGGGCATTAGAGCCACCAGTGAGATCATGTGTCTCTGAACAAAAGCAGGGTGAGTTTGTTTGCCCCTCTGATTCCCAGATTACCGATTCACAGAAAGGCATTTTCAACCATTATTCTTAAACTGAAATCCTGATTTTCATGGCAGGTCTGTGGCTGAAATATAAATTGGAGGTGGGGGTAGTAGCTGAGATTTTGCCTGTCTCTAACCACTTAGTTTTCTATTTTGTAATTCCACAGACTTCTGCACATGTCAGTTTTAGATGCAAGATGTAGCAGTAGGCTCTCCAGTCATTGATCCTGACTTAACTGATGTCAATCATCCATTTTGGACACTTGCATAATCCTCCTGGCCCAGATTCCTACATCAGCACTGGCTTGTCAGAAGTTCAAGTTGCACAGCAGCGCCTGAACCCCTTCAGAAGTGTGGCTGCAGCCCCCTGCTCTCACCTTCCTGCTGTCACCCGCTGTGGGACAGGGCACAGCTCACCCTCTTACCTTCCTGGTCTCTTTCCCAGCTTTGTCATAGGTGCTTGCACTCACTGCTGGCCTTGGCCCAGTGATGAGGGTCCCTTTCCTTGAAGGAACATAACTCAGGGGTAGTGATGAGACACTGGAAAAGGCTGCCCAGAGAAGCTGGGAATGTCCCAGCACTGGAAGTGTTTGAGGCCACTTTGGGTGGGGTCCAGGGGAAGGTATCCCTGCCCAGTGCAGGGGCTTGCAACATCTCTAAGGTCTCTTCCAGCTGCAGCCATTCTGTGATTTTGAGTGAGCTGCCTCTGCTCACAGTGACAGCTCTCCTGTGACTGCAGATGGCACTCAGCTGTCTGCTGCCCTGCCTGCTCTCTGTGGGACACCTGCTGGCTTCACCCTCAGCTGTGTCCGGCCCATTTTCCCACTGATATGTTCTCAGTGCATCTGGCTCCAGCTCAGCAGGGCTCTGGGCAGGGCTGGGTGGCTGGGGAGGGACAGCCAGTCACTGCTGCTGGCACACCCCCTTCGCATCAGTTCAGCTCTCAGCTGGCAGTAGGTGTGAAACAACGCCTTGACATCAAGGCTGTCTTTGTGAAATGGTTTGACACAACGTGGCCCACGTTGAGCTGCAGTTATGCCTTTTTTTCCCCCTTTTGGAACAAACATGTTAGTTAACTCCTTGTTAGTGGCTAATAAACAGGAACAGAAAACTCTCTCTGGCTATGCACTCAAAAGTTTGCATTCTGTGGCCAGGGAGGGAGTTAAATGTACAGGTAGCTAAGGGAGCCATAAAATGGTTACATAGAGCTGCATAAGCAAATTAATATGTATGTGGCTCTTTACCCCTCAGAACCCCAAAAGAGAACAAAAAGAGGCTGATCTGAAAGTAGTTGCAGGCTGGGATTTCGACACACCTGTGGAGTACCTGCCCTGCCTCTGCCCATCTGCCAGTGCCACTTGTGCTGCAGTTCTGTAGCCTCCATGCTCTGTTCCCCTTGGTGTTGCCAGGGGTAAACATCAGAGTTTGCTTCCCAGGGCAGCCTCTGGTTGCCCCCAGTCACCACCTGAGCAGGGGATGGGTTTTCTGAGCACTGTGTCACGCCTTCCTAATTCTCATTTACTGTATGTACCTTTCAGAGCCTCACGGGGCAAAGATAAAGGAACACAAGTTCCTGTAGTGTAAATGAAAATCCCAGTGCTAAGGAGCAATCCTGAAATGTACTGCAGGATTTTCTATTATTTAAAAACACTGTAAATCATTATTTTATGGAGAAGTAAAATATGTAAAAACATTTCTGTATAGTTCTTTTCTAAATCTAACACAGAAGCTTTTTCCCCATTTTTAAAGCAACCGTTTAATAAAGTCTGACACTTAGCAATGTTTTGAAATAATTTTTGCTGCTCTGCCAGCAGTTAGCTTTGCTGTGAATCTCTAAAGACAAATCCATCTACAGTGAATCTAGCAAAATTCAGCTCCGTGTTGTATGTCAGGGTTGAGGACTACTTGTCAGCTCTGGCACTGTCAGATTTTATCTTTAAATATGACAGGCAATTTGTTCAGGGAGCACTTCTGAATGACAAGATATAGTGGTGTTGTAAAACATGGCACCTGTGTGGTATGCCCTGCCTCTGTGGACATCAGAGGCTATTGTTTCCTTTGCTATTAGACAGCCACAGTCACACAATAAGGTGTGTAAAATGTTCACAGAAACCTTTTAAATAGAGTAGCAGGAAAGTAGATACCCTGCGGTCATTTAAGTCAAGCCATTTATCATTTTATCTTATAAAACACAACATTGGCTAAAATGTGATGTAAAGAGAAAACCAAACGCTCTGCTGAGCAATGTCAGTGCAAGCCAAGGATCTGAGCCATGCTGTAATAAAAGAAGGTTATCTTTAAAGTGAAATGCAATAGAAAAATTAGGATTTTAACTCCTTCCCAGTCAGACATGGCAAGAGCCATGCAGAGGGCTGCTGTTGGCATATGGGATGGATGTGGTCCCACTGGATGTGTAGGAATAGGATGGGTTTGGTAGTTAGAAAGATACGGAATGCTTTATTAGGAAGGACTTGGCACAGTTTAAATATACTTTTTTGTTTCTTATTATGAAAAGAAATTAAGTAATTTCTTTTTACTTTGGTGTAACTACTTTAAAGGAAATTCTCTAGATGAAGCAGAGTGGTAGCCTGTGCTGTTTTTTTGGCAGACAAAACTATCTGTCATGTTCACTCTTAGTGTGATTTCCCCATCTTTGTTAGAAGAAAAGAATACTTTTTGTTTTTAAAGTGGCATTTCTGTGTTCAGAAATTTATAAATTCTCCTCAGATTTTTTTTTCCTTTTTTTACATGCAAGTTTGTAATTTTAGAACCACTGGGAAAATGAGCATTCATCTTATCTAAGCAAAGATCTTTTGATGATTAGCTCCATATTCTGAGATGGCTTCCATAATGAATGAACAGCAAGAAGAATCTCCAGAGGGTTAATCATTCCACCTGGATTTGGTATCTATTTCACATTAGCATGAACTGTCACTGAAGAAGTCTATCTCTTCTCATTGACTCTGGAGAGAGATGAGGTAACTTGCTTGTGTAACTTTCAGCTAAATTTGGCTGAGGAAAGTCATCTTTAGTCACCTAAATCCCTTTTCTCCCTGACATAGCAGCCTAGATAGATCACAAAGGTGTTTCCAAGAATGTTTCTTCTCCTTGTTCACCAGCATTTGACCAACTGTGATACAGCTTCATAATGGAGGCTAATTCAAAGGGCTTTTAAAAACAAGGAGAAAGATTTTTTTGTAATTAATTGTGATAGATGACTGGTATGGTCACAAAGAGCAACATAAATCTTTGTGCCATGCCCAGTGCTAAAAAGCAGACAAACTCTAGCTCAGGGAAGTCAGGTACTTAAGCATAGGAAAGTCATACAGGGAAAGGGGTTTAGACCTCATGTCCATTAGGAAGGCAGATAAACACCCAGTGAAGTAATTTTGCCTGCCCATCATTGAATAATGTGCTCTGAAAGGAAGGGCTGCACTTCAGTTCCACCCTCCTCAGGCAAGTGGCCTTGCCAGCAGTTTAGACAGAATGGAGTCAGGAAGAAAAAACCCCTCAAACACCATTGAAGAGATACATACATCCAAATAACTGCCCCAAATGAGAAGCAGCTCTGAGTAATTATCAGTTATCTTCTGGTGGGTTTTCTTGAGGAATGAGATATAAAATACTTCATATATATTTCAAAAGCTATGTGTTTACTGGGATATGTTATAGAGCTGTATAAGAAGTCTAGGATCAAGGAGTAAGGTCTTTTATTTAAAGGTCAAAATTGAAAATTTGTGATACAAGTGAACTGACCAGCAGTGAAAAAATACATAGACACCTCACAAGCTGTGTGCCAGTGTATAATCTTTTGCTGCTACAGCAAATTCTCCTCTTAAATACTTTCATTTGAATATTGCTGTTACAGGAAACCTGAGATGTGCCAGGTAGGAAGGAGTAGTTAATCATATTATGCACTCTACAAATGGTGAACATGCTTTATTAGTTTCTTCTGTAGATAAAATTAAGTGATATCTGGGAAATATCTGCAATAAAGGTATTTTGGTTTTTTGGTTTTGTTTTTTTTGCTTTAGTAGTCTCCTTGTGTCCTCAATTTGCCTTTTATAAGCCATGAAAGTGGTTATCATATAAGTTGGACTTAGGTAGGAATCAAAATAATGGCATCAAATAGATGGGAACAGATTTTTTTGCTAGGGAAAATTGCAATTCATTGATTCACATGAGGCCACCCCTCTGTGGGCCCAAACCACAATGGACGTGGTTATCCACAGCTGGAGTGAGTCTGAGATGACAGAAAACGGCAGCACAGGTGCAAAAACTTCATTTATTTCCCAGCTGGCCAGGAGAACGGCTTGAGCCTGTGGCAAAGAAGGGAGCTGAAAATGTGATGCGGAGGAACTCAAGGAGTCTGGAAGAAGCTGATGGACATGCCTGAAAGCAGAAAGGTAAGTGGGAGAGTTTCTCCACATTCCTGAGTTTAATAGGCTGTTTTGCACAAAGTCTTGCCTTTAGTAGAGTAAATAATTAAATATGTTCTGTGATTAATAGAGGGATCAAATTCAGGCATGGACACTTTTCATCAGGGCTCCTCCATCTGCAGGAACAAGGCTTTGTACCCTTGGCTGGGGAGCTCTGTTTATTCTGGTGCTTTTTAACTCTGTTAAGGCTGTGGGACTTATGGCTAACTTTAATCAAATATGAAATAAAAATTCGAGTCTCAGTGACTGAAGTTCTGAGATTGTTTTGTGAAGTTTGGAATGAGGCAAAACAAGAGTGACAGCCAGCAGTGTCCCTTCTGAGGAGGAGCCAGCAGGAAGTGCCCATCACTATCCCTCTGCTCAGCCACAGCAAGGGCTGTGTCCTGTCAGAGGAAACCCTAAACAACAGGGAGCCAGCAGAGCTCTTGTGGTGAGGGCACAACAAATCCGTTGTCTTTGGTGACAAAGAATTTGAATTTATGGGAAATTAGTCTTCATTAGTTCTGCTGTTCACACAACCTCTATCTGGTAAACCTGAGAAAACCAGGGCTTTCTCTGTTTTACACTAATAAAACTAGGGTAATGTTATTTAAAATGCTTTGGCTGTACAACAGTCTCCCATAAGCTTCCAGCAATTATCCACAATGGATGCACATTCTTAACTCATGTTTGAATTTAATTGTCAGTGTGACACTGAGTAGAATTGGATTGGGCATTGAGCTTTTCAGTCCCAAACCACCAGTGCACTTGGGGATATATTTAGATTTAAATTGCATGTGTTTCAATTGGGAAAATGTGTAAGTGCTTTGCTGGATCTAAGCTAGTGCTTGGTATCTCAGTTTTGTAACTTTTTGAGCAGGGATTTTTCATGAGAATAAATAATTTCATGTGGTTTCCTAAAGAAGTGTGTTTGTAATTGTGCTATGTGCTTAGACAAGGACTGATTTAAACCAAAATTAATTGAATAGCAGAGTAAGTTTCTGGTGGTTTTATGAGAATGGAAGACAGGCATTATTAATGCCTGTAAGGAAAACGCTGTTTTGGGACCCTCAGTCCTACTAGAAATCAGCTCACCTAAACAGGTGTGAAATTATGAGCCTGAACTCATAGCAAGTGGAATTCATGGATATTGTGGCTCAGGGAGCTACCTGTGGCTTTTACTCTGATAAAGCTTTGAAGGCAAACACTGCATTCAAAACAACTCTTCAGCATGTTTCACCCAAAACGAGGATCTTTTTCTTGCTAAGAGACATGTGTGGCAGGCTGCACATTAATTAATTAACCTCAGTGTTATCCAGACGCATCCCAAGAACCTCTGTGGCTCTGCAGATGCTGAAGGCTCATGTACATCCTGGCCACAGCCTTCCTCCCCTCTTCACCTTCCTGAACAAAGGGAGCACTGGAAATAAAGGTGACCCAGGCATGCTCATGTCAGTGATAGGATGAAGAACAAACAGCTTGTCAGACAGCAGTATTGTCTGAGCTAATCAAAGGATCATGGACTTATTTGGAGAGGGAAAGACTTTTAGGATTGAGTCCACCAGTACCCCCAGTACTGTTAAGCCCACCACTGACCCATGTCATTAAGTTCCATATCCATAGAGCTTCTAAATATCTACAGGAATGGTGATTCCATCACTTCCCTGGGCACCCTGTTTCTCTTATTCCTACAAAAAGTTGGCAATTACATTGCATCTTTATTTTATTTTGCTTTCTTAAAAATCAACTGGATATCAATCTACAATCAATAAAGAAAGTTGCCTATAGGCAGTTCTACCTTCAAACCTACTCCATGGATCAGCTGCTGGTAATCTATACACAGTCAATAAGACACATTTCAAAAGTGAAGCTTTTCTCCCAAAAGGCAAAACTGCTCTAATTTACAGCTGGATATGAACTGGGCAAACAGTATACACCTGAAGTAAATGTAATTTCCAATTTACAAGAAACTCTGGTGAAAGATTAGATCTGATCTGCTCTCTATGCAAGTAAATCTATGGATATTTATATAATGATAACTGGAGAGCACAAATTGCTTTGGTTTTTCCTTTTGGGTATTTTTTCATTTGTTTGTTTAGCAAAACCTGCAGGGGAAACTCGAACAGCTATAATTACAGTCACAGTTACAAGTTGTGGGGTCTGTAGATAATAAGCTACAAGGCATTTTTATTGTGCTCTTTTATTATTATTTGGTTAAAGAATGCTTTTTTTTCCCAAGACAATCCATCTGTGTTTTGTAGGAAGAAGAATCAAAGCAATAGCTGTCAAATATCAGTGAGATAGCAGATTTACAAATTAATCCCATTGCTTTGTATTTCCACAAAGGTTGAAATCTATAATTGGTGCTAGAAACTATAATTAACTTATTAGAAGCACTCAGCTAGGTGTGCAAAATGGCAGCAGGTGTGTAATATCATTAGCAATATACTGTATTAAAAGCACCTCGGAGTTTTATCCCTTTAGTTTCATGCTGCCAGCTGCCAATTTGATTGGTTAAGTAGTTTTGGGCCATGCAATACTCTTTCTTTTGGATTGATGTGTTTATTACTTTTTATGACAGGGGATCCCAAGGCAGATGTTCAATAAAGAAACAAGCTGCTACAGACCAGAGTAAAGAGATAGGTGGTGTAGATGCAGGAAATTGGGAAAGTTATCATATGCGCTAAGTTGTTATTGAAGATTTTGCTCCCAGCATTTGTAGCAGTTGTGTTATATGCTCTTCCACAGACAGTAATCTAACAGGGAATTATTGAAAGCCGAGTGCCAAGATTTCAAATTGCACTGTGTGATGTGGGGCTGCTACTCGAGCAGGGAGCTGGGGGTTTGAAATGATAAAGACGTGGCCGTGCCATTTTTCGGAGCTGTGTGGGAGCAGTGAGAGCTGCTGGGCTGGTGCAGAGCCTTTTCTCACTGAGACACAGCTGAAGGTCTTCTTCTCCTTTGCACCTTGTGCAATCACTGGTGAAATCATTTCCACTAGCACAAAGGGAGAGAAAATTGTTACTGGGAAGGAATCTTGTTCAGAATTTGGGTAAAGGGTGAACAAATTAGAGTTGTATAGACCTGGATCAACCAAAGCCAAATTCTGCTCTGTCTTCAACAGTAAAAATACATGCTCATCATATTTAAGTGAATGGGAATGTACAGATGGATACATGGGCAAAACCAAAAAAAGAGGTAGGTTTTTAGTTCATATAACTGTTTTCCATTTGGTTTGTTTTTCTTAGTGCTAAGGGGGAGAGAAACTACAACTTTCATGGCTTTTGGAAACTTCTGAACACTCCTGTAGGGGAAAAGCAAATGTTTTATAGAGAGCCTTCTTGGCATAAATCATTTCTTTTTCAGTGTTTTAAGAGGAAGCAATAGACTGTGATTGACATAAAAATTTTCTCTTTAATTGATTTAGTCTATTTTGCTGGTTTTGTGACTTTAATTTAATCTATTACAACCAGATATGAGAAGAGCTAATAATTCATGAGAGATGTTATTTTCTAATTAGGTTTTTATGAATGCCCCTAAAGCTTCTGCCCAGAAGTGGAAGCTGGCCAAAAAATTTGAATTATACTGAGAGCAAACTGTTCTGCTCTGTCCATAATCTTTAATGCGCTGCTTTCCTTTGGTTTCTTGATGTATTAGCATCATCCCTGAAACAATATTTTTCCCCTGTGTTTGGAAGGGATGAGTATCTCATTGGTCCTTTCACCACCTCTGAGACACTTGCTGTCCTGCTCCTGCCATCTCCTCTTGGCTTTGAGGCTCAGCTCTTCAAACTGCACTGGGCACCAAGTGCTGCCCTTGCTCTTGCAGACAAGAGGGTGTGACTTGTGCCATCCCAAACCTTCCCACTCCTGTGTGGTCACTTGAAACCTCCCTTCTTTGGTTCTAAGGGTGTATATTTCCACACCCTCTGCCTTTTCCTGCTGTTTGTGAATTATGGTGCGACTACCAGGAAGAAAAAGGAAATGTGTAATGGGCTCTTGCTGTCTGTGGGGAGAAAAGCTGCTCAAACTGAGACAGCCCTGTGGTCTGCAGGACTGCTCATGGTCTGAAATGGCAAATTTCATGGGCAGAGCCAAGTGTTCCAGGTCACCTCTCGGCTCTTCCATCCTCTTCTAAGTTATTGAAGCCTTAGGGAGGGAAGAAAAAGAAGTTATCAAATTTAGGCTATTGGACTATTTGTCAGACCAGTCTAACCAACAAATTCCAGATGCTGCTCTGGATATCTGATGGTTGCAGTTCAGTTGGCAGGAGGCACTGAGACAGGTCAGGGAAGGCTGAGGCTGTGTGGGATCAGCTGAGGGAAATGCCAGGGATATGTTAAAGGTGTGAGGCAGAAAAGAGAGACTGTGACAATGGAGTTGTGTTAGAGCAGGGGCTGAACAAAAAACTCAAGAGTACTTTCAGTAACAGGATGTGTTTTGATGCACAAACAAAGGCAGTGAAAGAGACAACGCAGACCTTGGGAGCTGAGGAACATGGGAAAGGGGAATCATGCTAAAAAGCAATATGAGCTGTTGTGGGAAGTGACGTTTTAAAAACAAACCACAGTGGTTGCTGCATTGTACAAACCTAATAAGACATAGTGAAAAATATTGGATTTATTTTTACAAGTTAAAAGTGACCTTGTTGGCCTTATGAATGGATTCACTTCTCACAGTACCTCTTAAGGGCATTAGGGTTATGACTAACTCATAAAAATAAATCCAATATTTTCCCCTTGGCCATGTCATATCCAATGTTGGAATTCAGCTGTGAGAACTGGTGGGGCTCTGACTTTCATTTAGTTTGACCTCCTATTATGAGAAGTACCTGGCTCTCAATCCTGGTGGGCTGCAGCATAGCTCCAACATGGTTATGCTGCATACAGAATGGAAACAGAAAACATCCGAAGAGGCCTGGAAACAGAGGGTTGTGCAACACAACGTGTAACTGAAAAGAACATGTGAAAGGAAGAAGTGTTTCAAATA